AAAAAAAAAAAAAAAAAAAAAAAAAAAAAAAAAAAAAAAAAAAAACAAAAAACCAAAGCCCAGTGGTGTTTTCCCCTCGGGAATCCTTCGGGATTTCCCCTGGGGGATCCTTCGGGGTCGGGGTGTTATTCCCAAAGGGGGTGGCTGTGTGTGACTCTGCAGCTCGTGTTTATAGAAATGTGTGGAATTGAAAATAAGCAACATTATCTGAAGCTCTGTAAATAGAGATGTGATTTAGTGTGGATAATATCCTTGTAATTGTGTATTTTTTTGTTATATATATATACATATACAAATAATATATGGATATATATAATATATAATTTATAGGTATATATGTATATATATATATGTATAATATATATATACATAATATATGGTACATATGTTAAAATATATAATATGTCATATAATAAATATGTTGTAAATGTGTAACACACAAGTAATTGTAATTATGTGTGTGTAAATAACTGAATTTGGGAATATTGCCAATAATTCTCTGATTCCAAATATTGGAATATTCCCCCTAAGCAGGTAATGTTGGTTCTAAGCAGGAAATGTTGCCTGTTATTCTATAAATATATATATAGAATAAATATATATATATATAGAATATAAATATATATAGAATATAAATATAGAGAGAATATAAATATATAGAGAATATAAATATATAGAGATTATAAATATATATAGAATAAATATATAGAGAATATAAATATATAGAATAAATATATAGAGAATATAAATATTTTTCTATAAATATATAAATATTTATGAATACATATTCTATAAATATATATATATAAATATAGAGAAAAATAATTGAAAATAGGTAGTATTGTTATAGCTGATTCTATAAATACATATATAAATAGTTATATAAATATATAAATATTTTATATAAATATAAAGGAAATAGCGTCATTTGGGTGTCATTCCATTATGTGAACTCAAAGCGAGGGGTTTCGGTTCCCAGTCCACAAACAGACCCCGAATCCTCCACGGATTTCCCCCCTCCCCGAACTCGGGGGGGCTCCTTCCCCGCCCCACCTTCTTCAGCACCACGAACTCGTTCTCGGCCGTCGTGCGCCGGTTGATCTCCTCCTCGTACCTGGGGGAAAGGGAAAAAAAAAAAAAAACACACCCCAAAATCAAACCTTTGGGGCTGAAAAACCCTCCCTAAAAAAAAAAAACCGGGAGTTTTGGGTTTGTTTTTTTTTTTAATTTGAGGCGGGGGGGAGCACCCACTTGCTCTTGAAGTCCTCGACGTACTGCTGCATGTTCTGCAGCTCCGACTCCAGCTGCCCCCGCTGGGCCAGGATGGAGTCCAGCTGCCTCCTCAGGTTCTGGATGTAGCTCTCAAAGATCACCGTCAGGTCCTTCCTGGGCCCCGACGGCCCCTGCTGCTGCAGCAGCTCCCACTTGGTGGACAGGACCTTGTTCT